GGCCTTTCGGGGCGGTGACGCCGCCCGATGGCCGACCCCGAGCATGCCCGACGTGGAAGCGCAGAGGCGGGCAGCGAGCGATTGCAAGGCGCGCCGCGGATACCGGCGGGCGCCGTGGGCGAGCGGCAGGGGGCGATAAGGGAGATGGTTGAGCTTGGCTTGCGGCCGACAGGGCCTGATGGCGCGCGGGCTTGGCAGCGCGCGGGAAAGCGGCGGTGGGCCGCCGGGGGGGAGCGGGGCAGCGGCGGGCGGGGCGTTGCGAACGGGAAGGGGGGGGGGGCACATGCGGGAGGGGGAAGGAGGCGGGGGGGGTTCTAGTTTGGTTTTGCCCTGCCAATGCAATCCATATTCCGATCGGACGCTCCTCCCGCTCTACTTTCGCCATTCTTCGCCGACGGGCTCTGATTGCAATTGCCATGCTGGAAGACATCGTTGACGCGCCGCGGCGCAGCATCCCACAGCGTTGCCCCGCTGCCTGGGAAGCGTCGGGTTGCTTGTCGGCCCACAAGGCCTACGTCGCGATCGCGCGAGCCCAGGGCCGCAGTGCGTCTGCCCAACCCCGTCCCTTGTTCCAACAGGTTTGTGCACTTCTGCCATGCCCTCTGCAACCCCCACTGCATCAGTTCCCAAAGCAATTCTGCGTCGGGGCCCTCGGTCTGAAGCGACGGCGCCACGCGTCACCTTACTTCCCGCCCTCCCCCTCCCCCCAATCATCCCGCCCCTGTCCTGCGCTCCGTGCGTCAATGTCGGCGCACCCCTCCACGCGCTTCGTGGCCGCGTAGGGAATTGCATGCGAGTTCCCAGTGGCGACGTCTGCATGCGTCCGCGCCGCCCATTACGGCGCACCCATCACGCGCTTCATGGCCCCGTACGGATCCCCACGTAAAGACCCCGCGGCGACGTTGACATACGTCGGCGCCACCCATGGCGACGCGCCCCTCGCGCGGTCCGCAGCCCCATGGGGGGCTCCGCCAAATCCACCCAGTGGCGACGTCCACATGCGTCCGCGCCGCCCGCAACGGCGCGCCCCTCAAACGTTTCGTGCCGTCATGGGGAGCTCCACCCAAGACCGCAGTGGCGATGTTACATGCGCCAACGCTCCATAGGGTGCTCCACCGAAGGCCTCAGCGGCGGCGTTTACATGCGCCCGCGCAGCCCATGACAGCGCACCCGCGCGCCGTTCGTGGCCACGCAGCGAGCTCCCTGTACGGCACCACCGGCGATGTTTGCATGCGCTTGCGCCGCCCATGACGGCGCGCCTGTCACAGTGTTCATGGCCCCAAAGCGAGCGCCGCCGAAGGCCCCAATGGCGACGTGCACATGCGCCCGCGCCATTCATTACGGCGCACACTTCGCACGGTCCGCGGCCCCATAGGGAGGCCCACGTAAGGCCCCAGCGCCGACGTATGCACGCGCCCGCGCCCCCAAGAAGGGCACACCGCTCACGCGGTTCGTGGCCGCGTAGGGAGCTCCGCCTATAGCTCCACTGGCGACCTCTGCGTGCACCCGCGCCACGCATCACGGCGCACCGCTAACGCGTCCCGTGGCCCCACGGGGGGCCTCGCTTGAAGCCCCGACGGCGACGTTTACGCGCGCCCGCGTCGCCCGTTACGACGCGCCCCTCAGACGGCTCGTGGCCCATGAGGAGCCCCATCTAAGGCCCAAGTGACGACGTTAGCATGCCCCCCCCCCTTCCCGCCCCCTCCCCCCACGCCCTCCCATTCACTCCGCCCGCCCACCCACCGCGACCACCAGCATCAACACACACACACACACACACGCACGCACACACACGCGCACACACACGCACATACCACCACCACCACCACCACCATCGCCACCACCACCACCACCACCACCCACCACCACCAGCACCACACTTATACACACCACACACACCACACACACACACACAGACACGCGCACGCACGCACACACACACACACCAACACACACAGACACACACACACACACACGCATTGTGGCGCACCCCGCGCGCGCTTCGTAGCCGCATGTGGAGCTGAAAGGGACGCGCCAGTGACACTTGCCGATGCGTTGCCCCGTAGGAGGTTTCACCGAGGAGGGTGTTCACAAATGCTGCGCTCCCAATTGCACATGGTATGGCTTTTCGTCACGATGAGTATATACCAGCTCTACGTCGTCCTACTACCACATGCCACACACTGGTTTCACATGACTCCTTCCTGTTCTGGAGTACTCGTCGGTGCTCATGTGGGTTTCGCGCTTCGTTGCTCAGGAGCCAGTCGTACTCGATTCACCTTCCGCATTACTGGAACAAACTTGCTCGACGCATGCACTAACTCTCGTGTTTTCTCTGGTCTATTCCTCCCCTATGGGGATTACGTCCAGTCTGCTGCTCTGTGACGCGTATCGGTACCCTGCTTTATTTCTATAATGTGCATACTCTAGCGGTGATGCGCGCGTTGTCTACTCCTCTCTTACTTAGGGAGGGGGAATAAGGAGGTGCCCGCGCCCATGTCATTGCTGTTTTGTTTTGTTTTTCGCATCCAACGAAATGTTCAGGATTGTGGCCTCACACAAAGTTCAAAATCTCACGGACGTGCCTGAGCCACATGCAGCCTCGATGGGCGACGTTGCCGCAGTTGCTTGCTGCGACATGAGGCGGGCGTGGTTCCCACGCGCCACTCCAGCCATGCCGACCGTCGGCGCCGTCCTTCCCCTGCTCTTCTAATGTCCCTCTGGCACATCATCATTCTCAATCGTATCCTCCCTGGTTCGATCCCGCCTCACATGTCTTCGGATCTCTCACATCGCCCGCCCCCATTCATCAGCATCATATTTTCCAGCCTTCCCCATCGTGAACAAAAAACACCAAGTAAAATTTTACTTGATTTTTCAATTCGTATGTAATTCAATTCTGTAGTCGTTGAGCTATATGAAGAGCTGGCCAGGAACAGGCTGCGCTATCACAGCTTGAGGGCTCTCTGATTTCATAGCGCTTACCCAATCTCCAGAGGCAACGACACTGCGACGTAAACCTTGCCATCGCTCGGACGTCCATTTCCCGTGCATTTTTCGGTTTCGTGCGTGTTTTTTTTGCTCGATGGTCCAGGATGGTCCTCGATGGTTCTCGCCGAGAAAAAAATGCACACGTCCGAGCGAAGCCAGGAAACATGAACTTTCGACGGCTTGCGAGGATTTCCTGGATCTGCGCTGGACCCCCGTGGATAATAGAACATCCAGAATTGATACCGTGCGACGCGGCACGGCACGGCGCGGCACGTCATGGCACGTGGGCAACGATGGGACATGATGACGAATTGGCAAATACTGGCCCGGATCTGATCCGCCAACGTGTCTTGAGTGGGCTCCCCGAAGCTCAATCAACTAAGGACGCTGGGTACTAGAGGATGGAAAGGCCCGTGATGGCCAGGACAACCAGATTCCCCCAGACTTGTTGGGCGCTCGGCGCATGAGCTCCCTGTTCCCCAACACCAGCCAAAGAAGTCAGGGTTCCAGCGTCTTGGCCCCAGGCATGCACCAGGGCCCAGGACACCCCCAGAGGCTGCTGCAGAGCACCCCAGGACCACCCAAGGTGCTGCCAGGGCCAAGGTTCCCCCCAAAAGAGGCCCGAGTCTGCCGCAGGCCCCCCGAGAGGCTGCCGCAAGACCCCGCAATCAAGAAGAAACCAGAAAGTTCCGATACGGCTATGCTCCGGACCTCTCCTGGGGTGCGTTCTGCATAGCATTTCGAGGCGAATACAGCCGTGGCGACGAGGGCTTCCCAGGGGGCCCCAAACGGGGAAAACGAGGGAGGGGTAGCGGTGTGGGTACCTTTCCTCCCCTGGCGCAGGAGACTGCCAAACCCATGACCACCCCAGGACCCCTCAATTAGCCTCCCGGATCCCCCCCCCGGCCCATGTACGACCCCAAGTGTCCCCCAAGAGAGGCTGCCGCAAGGGGGGCCGCTGGCGCTCCCACGCTTCCCGCGCGCCGCAGCGAGTCCGGGTGGCGCGGGGCCGAGGCCTCGCATCCCCTCCTCGGGGGCGTCCAAGAGGGGGGCGTCCAAGAGGGGGGGCGCAAATCATGGCCGGCGGCATGCGCGCGGCCCCCGGGGGTCTCAGGAATGCCTCGCAATAAAACGAGGCGCCATGAGATCTGGGGAAATATCATGGCACTGGCCACCATTTCCACCCCCCTAGTCACTAGTCATCACCCCTCTCTTGGCCGCCCCCGACCTCCGCAACAACGGATCACAAAGTGGGCCGGGACCTGGGTCCCAACGCATCCCCGAAATCCCAGGGGGTCAGCCTGTGCCAGCGGGCCTTGCCCACAGCGGGCTGCGCACGTGGCAAAGTGAGGGGGATGATGGGGAAGTGGCGCAGCTCTGAGCAAACAAACTGCACAACAGCTGTCTTGCGAAGCGGGCAAGAACTGTGTCGCAGATCTGGCGGCCGAGTGAGCACAAGCAACATCCCCAAAACATACTACCTGTCCCTCACTTCCCCTCCCCTGTTGCACAGACCCTCCTCCATCCTCCCTCATCCCCCGCTTCCCCCCCGCCTCCCCTCCCCGTTCGTCGCCCTCCTTTCGCGTTCCCAGTGTCGCAGGGCCTAGAGGCCAGTCGCTCTTGCAACCCCACCGCCGAAGCCGACTGCGCCCATCTGGTCGGGGGCACCCCGGCCCAGCCGAGCAGGACGGCGAGCTGGGACGCCTGGCCAGAGACCGCGTGTGCAGGATCAGCCGACATCGCCTCGGGGACTCGGCCCGAGTCGGAACGCGCATCAAATCGGGCCGCATCGGCAGGGAATCGGAATCGAATCAGACCGGCTGTGCGAGCATCGGGCCACGCCGGAGCATCGGACTGTCGGGATCGAACCGGATCAAGCCCGCCTGAATGAACATCGAATCGGGTCGATCAGATCGACATGGGCTTGTGCAGCGCCCGTCGGTCGGCCAGTGCGGGGCATTACCAGGCCTGAGCTCGTGAGCCCCTGCCCCTGCCAGCCCCTGGCCCACCAGCAGCACCATCGGATTGTCGCCGTCCAGCACAAAAAGGTAATAGTCGGGCTCCTTCGTCTCCAGAAATCTGGCCACGGTGCAGTGTTTCCTCCCGTCCGCGCGTCACGTTTCTCATCAAGTCAACGCAGCAACCCAGCAATGCGCGCCATCTGATGGGCACGCAACCACATGCCACCCCCTTGTTCCCGACGGTACCTCCTGGATGCCGAACCACGCGATTGACATACACCACCACGTCTCCCGACCTTCATCGGTAGAACCTGTGCGCTGTGGCGAGCCCCAAAAACCACGAACGCCTCTTCTACACTGCTAAGCCAGCGCCGCCCCCATGCCACCCCGCCCGACAGCCCGCTTTATCCCCTCCCCCCATCCGCACGCCGAGCCCACCCCCCGCGCGATACCCCTGGAGCACCCCGCAAAGGCGACACCAACACCAGCAGGGCGAGGAGATGCGAGGAGAAAAGGTCTCCCTGGTGGTGTGGTCCCCCACTCGCCTCAGACACCCCCAGCCTCCCGCTCTGGGAGGCATCGTGGACCTCCCCGCTGGAGGTGGCCCCCCTGGTGGTGTTGGCGTCGCTTCTCCCCCCTCCGACTCCCTCCCCCCCAATCCGTGCAAGAAGTGTTGTGCAAGCGTATGAGTCGAGCCCCGAACTTTGAGCACATCTCAACTTGCAGCGCTCTGAATCGCGGGGCGCCGCTACGCCGACTTGCCTCGAGCCACGCCCCCGCGGCCTGCGTGCGCCCCACCAGCAGGGCGCTGCCCCGCCCATTTGCCTCGGAGCACGTGCGCTGGAAGGAGGGCGTTGCCCTGCTCATCCGCCTCAAACCGCGCGCACTGGATTCGTACCCCAAGAAGCTCTCGTATGCATCCGAGGGGCTTCTTATTCACGAGACACAAGTACAATGGCGAGCTGGGGCCAGGGCCACTAGATACGTCGGATAACAACAATTCGAGACGTCCCCAGTTTGACAAATTACTTTGCTTCGAGCATCCCCACCGAAACCTTAAGCGTTTGTTCCCGACGGCGCGCGGTCGCCTAATTGGTCGACAATTGCCGTTTCTGGATTCAAGAAACGTTTCAACCGTGTTCCATGTAATCGCGTTCGTTCATGTTGTGCTCCATTATTCCTGTTATGTTTTCGACTGGCCGGCGATGGTATGATCTGCTCGGCGGCACTATGTTATGTTATGTTATGCCATGCTATGCTATAGTATGCGTTGCTACGTGGTGAACTTGCCAACTCGGCTCAGTGAAGTATACTATGAACTGCTCTGTTAGTATGTTTCGCTAGTATACTATGAACTGCTCTGCTAGTATGTTTCGCTGTACTTTACTGTCGTGTTATAATATGTTCTGGGATGCAGTCATGGGATGATCTGATATGTTCTGTCATGAGGTGTTATGCATGCTGGGTTATGCCATGTTATGGTGTGTCATTGTCGGCTTCTGTTACGTCAAGTTCTGCTCTAGTATGTTATGTGATGCTATGCTTGTTGGAGGCTCGGCTCTATCGTATATTATGATATGTTCTGCCTGTATGTATCGCTATGCTCCGCTGTCGTGCTCTGATATGTTCTGTGATGCTGTGTCATGAGTTGGCGTGTGTTGTCAAGGTGTGTTATGTTATGCTCGACTATGGTATGTTATGGTGTGTTCTGTCGTCTTCTGTGCTGTCATGTTCTGCGCTGGTATGTTCTGTGATGTTATGTTATGCCTTGTTTTGTCAGTACGCTGCTATGTTCTGTTCTGCCATGGTCTGTCATGCTCGTGTTCTGTTCTGTCATGTTTTAGTGTGTCATGTTGTGTTCTGTCGTGTTCGACGTCGCTACGCTCTGCTGTCGTGTTTTTGTCTGTTCTCTGATGCTGTGTCATGGTATGGTATGTTCTGTTATGGTGTGTTATGTAAGGCTCGACTCTGTGCTGATATGTCGTGTCCTGTCGTCTGCTGTTGTTTGATGGTCTGCCCTGGTATGTTCTGTGATGTGCTGTTTATTGACGGCCCTGCTCTGCTTGGTCTGTTCTGTGATGCTGTGCAATGGTATGCTATGTTCTGTCACGGTGAATTATGTCATGCTCGGTTATGTTATGCTATGATGTCTTATGTTTTCAGTTATGTCATGTTCTGCTCTGGTATGTCCTGTTATGTTATGTTATACCCTACTTCGTCATAAATTGTTATGCTCTGTTCTCCCCATGTCCTGTCATACTCGTGTTATGTGCTGTCATGTTCTGTTGTGTCAACTTGTGTTATGTCGTGCTCGTCGTGGCTATGATCTACGATAGTGTGATGATGTGTTCTGCGATGCGGTGCCATGATATGATATGTTCTGCTCAGGTGTATTATGTTATGCTCGGCTATGTTATGTTATGTTGTGGAATGTCGTGTTCTGCTATGTCATGTTCTGCTCTGGTATGTTATGTGATGTTATGTTATGCCTTGTTTTGTCAGTAAGCTGCTATGTTCTGTTCTGCCATGGTCTGTCATGCTCGTGTTATGTTATGTCATGTTCCATTGTGGCATGCTGTATTCTGTCGTGCTCGTCGTCGCTATGCTCTGCTGTCGGAATATGCTCATGATGTGATGCTGGATCATGGTATGATATGCTCTGTCAAAGTGTACTATGTTATGCTCGGCTATGTTCTGTCATGTCGTGATATATCGTCTTCTGTTGTGTCATGTCCTACTCTGGTATGTACTGTGATGTTATGTCATGCTCTCCTTAGGCATGATATTGTCATGCTCTGTTCTGTCATGATCTGTCATGCTCGTTTTCCGTTCTGTCATGTTATGTTCTGTCATGTTGTGTTCTGTCGTGTTCGTCAAGAGCGCGAGGCGCTTGGACAACTTGGTTTCATGGCGGCCGCGGTATGCAAAAGGGGTTGGCCGGGCGCGCGGTGGGATACCCCGGACTCCCGGGGCAACTTTGGGTCTGGCGGCCGCGGTATGCAGGATGGGGTTGGCCATGGGGGCATGCTCTTGAAATTTAACAACCCGAACCTGTCTTGTGGAAGGAGAAGGATGAGGAGGCGGGGCGGAGAAAGAAGACGGCATGACTTCGGGACGCCTGTCGCGTTCGACGCGTCATCGAATCGGTCATTGCTGCGCCTATTTGTCCCTGTGGTGAGCCTGACGACGAGGCGGCGCCGTGCAGCCAGCGGTGGCTACTGTATACGTGATGTTGTGCTGCAGTATGTTTCGTTGAATTCTACCCCAAATAATATGTGACGCTGTGCTCTGTTACGTTCTGACCTCGACGGGCTGGCGTGACCTCGTGACGCCTGGGCGAGGCTGTGGAGTGGTGGCTACTGTATGCGTAGTGTTGTGCTATAGCGTGTTTGATTGGAATCTGCCGCAATGCAATATGTGATACTGTGTTCTGTGTTGTTCTGCTCTCGACGGGCCGGCGTGACGTCGTGACGCCTGTCACGTTAAATGCGTCGTCGAATCGTTCTGCTCTGCGGCACCATGTTAAGACATGATATGCTCTGTGAGAATATGTTATAGTATGCTCGGTTCCGTGATTATGTTGACGGCTCAACTCAATATAGAATATCTTGATCTGCTCTTTCATGTGTTTTGCCATGCCCTGTTCTATCGTGATGCTCATTTCCACTACTGCCGTTCCTGTATTCAAAAAAAGTTCGACACTGTTCCATGTCGTGACGGTCTATCATGCTATTTTCTGTTATGACCGTGTATGTCCTCGACGGGCCAGCCTGACGTCGTGACGCCTGGGCGACGCCGTGGAGTGGTGGCTACTGTATAGGCGATGTTGTGCTATAGTGTGTTTGGTTGGATCCTGCCCCGATGAAGTATGTGATGCTACGTTCTGTGATGTTGTGATCTCGACGGGCCAGCTTGACGTCGCGACGCCTGTCACTTCCACAATGTTCCATGTAGCAACGCTCTACCATGTGATGCTCTATCATGTCCTGTTGTTCTCGACGGGCCGGCGTGACGTTGTGACGCGTGGAATGGTTGCTACTGCATACGTGATGTTTTGCTATAATGTCGTCGTGACGCTTGTCACGTCAAATGCATCGTCAAATCGCTCATTGCTGTGACTGTTGGTTCCTGTGGTACGCTACGCTATGTATGACATCCCTCTGCCCTTCCGTTATCAAGTATGCTATGTTATGCTCGCTTCTTCCACAATGTGCGTTGGTATGGTATGTCATCCTCTGCTCTGTGGCACCATCTTAGGATATGGTATGCTCTGTCAAAGTATGTTATAGTATGCTCTGCTCCATGATGCTGTTGACGGCTCAACTCAGTATAGTATAATCGGATGTGCTCTGTTTATATGTTTTGCTGTCCTGTTCTGTCGTGGTACTCCTCTCCACCACTGCACAACTGCCGTTTCTGCATTCAGAAACGGTTCAACCGTGTTCCCTGTAGTCACACTCTTTCATGTTATGCGTTAGTATGTCCTGTTGTGTTTTCGACGGGACGGCGTGTCATCGTGACGCCTGTTACGTTAGATGCGTCGACTGTTGTGAGGTTCCTCTTCATTTATATGTTTCTCTTCTGATTGGGTATGTTATATTATGCTCATCTATGGCACCGGGTGCTTCGAGATGCTATGGCATGGTCTGCTCTGTGGCACTATGTTATGGCATGAAATATTATGCAAACTTATGTTATAATACTCTTTCCCGTGATGCTGTTGACAACTCGGTTCAATCCATAGTATATCCCGTGATGCTGTTGACAACTCGGCTTACTATCGTCATCAAGGTGTGTTATGTTATGCTCGGTTATGATATGTTATGTAGTGTCATGCCGCCTTCTGGTCTGTCATGTTTTGCTCTGGTTTGTTCTGTGATGTTATGTTTGTTGACGGCTCGGCTCTGCTTACTATGATGTGATCTGCTATGGTAGTATGTTTCGCTACGCTCTGCTGTCGTGTTATGATTTGTTCACTGATGCTGAGTCCTGATATGGTATGTTATGTCAAATTGTGTTGTCTTATGCTCAGCTATATTGTATTATGCTGTGTTCTGCCGTCTACTGTTCTGTCATGTTCTGCTCTTTTATGTTATGTGATGTTCTGGTATGCTCTATTGTGTCATGCCATTGCTATGT